TCAAATCATAAGCTAGACCCTGAGAATTCATGCATGATCATCTTACCCAGAGAATTTCAGTCTTTTTCCAACTTCATGCTACCTCTCAAGATCTAGTTATAAAAGAAGCAGAAAGAGTTCTGAATCCTTCTGAGCAGCCTAGAAACCTTAGGTTTGGGACAAGGATGGCCTTACCCACAAACAGGATGGGTGGCTATCTCCATGATTTGGTTAAAAAAAAAAATAGCCAGCCAACCTCACACAAATGTATATCATGCCACCTGCCATGGTTCTGAAATGCCATCATGATAGCTATTTCCTTCCATCTGGGCAATGGCTTCCAAACACCACTGCAAGAAACACCCCATTTTCTGGGAGAAAGTACATTTCCACACATTGGTGAAGGTCCTAACCTGGCATCCTGGCCCAGCAGAGATAGGGCTGGTACACAAGATGAGTAAATCTTGACAGGATTGAGGAGATGAAAGTGCCAGAGGCATACAGTGGAAAGCATGGGTAGCAGAAAGACATGAGGACCAGGACCATGGGAAGGGGAAAAGATACCAAATGGCTTATAGGACCCCTGAGAATGTCACTCTGCCACCTGTGGTTTAGGGAGCTAAAAAGTACATTCAATTCTAACTTTTCCAGTTCATCTTCATATTGACTCTACTTGGCTCTTATACCCTCTAGTTCAGACTTGCTTCCTCCCAGGAGCAATTGCATGCTTGGGCAGAGAGGTGGAGTGCTGGCCTCAGGGACTAGGTAGTTTGAGCAGCAACACCCAGGAGCTCAATGGCAGGCCAAGCAGCCTTGTCTCTGGCCAGGGCTGCAATGACATCAGCTGCAGTTCTCCATCCTGGGTTGGGACCAGGAAAATGAGTACCTAAGAGTACGCTCCGCAGATAGCTGGGACTCTAGGGGGCCTTTGAGGTGGTCCAAGAGCCCACCCAGAATCCATCATCCAAAATCATGTGTCTGGTTTGTGTTTTAATTAGAGTCTCTGAGAAGATATGAATTTATATTTAAAAGTATAAAGAAGTGGATATTTTTACAAGTATAACCAGTTTCATGGTTATTCACTTAAAAAATATGTGTGAATATTATATACACATTCTTCTTTTCTTTCCATTGCCAAAGGAGGCCAATGGGATGTGTGGGGTCTGGCATCTCTGAGTTCTATCTGGCCTGAACAATCTGAAGGCCACTAATGTGGCCGTTATGTTTGCAGGACTGGCCACACTCCTAAACTTGACTCATGCTTTGGCATATGGCTGCATGAGTCCTCTGTCTAACCTGGTCTGCCTCTTAGCCATGTGCAGGCAGTTTCTGCCCCCCAACGAGCAGAGAAGTAAGAATTTGGTTCCTTCCCTCCACCCCCCCTCGGTGCTCCCTTCCCCCCCATACACACATTATCCTAAATATTTCTGTGATGTCAGGGAAACAGTATTACTACCTACCTCTCTCTGGGCCTCAGCTACTACCCTTCCCAACCTTTCCTCCTCCAAATTATGTGGAAACTTCCATAATTACGATAAAAAGCGGGGGGGGGGGGGGGGGGGGATGGAAAGGAGATTTAGGAATGGGGAGACTGTGTTGGGCAAATGTAAAACACAGGGAGGGCCTCTCAATGCTGCATCTCTGAGAGGGTGTCTTTGTGGATGGGAGGAGAAGGAGCTGAAGGGTGGTAATTAGCTTATTATTGTTTCCCCTGAGTGTTGTGAGAATTCCTTAGGAGACACTTGTAAAAAAGCCCAGGGAAGACAGTAAATACACATCTAATGATATGCTAAATAAATTATTATTGTTATTATTATGATTATTATAGCAATTGCAACTTGCTCCTTGCACTCAAGTTTCCACTAGAGATGGGAGTTGGTCCCCTTATAGCCTGGCCTCCTCTGCTGTCAATATGCCCCAGACTCCCCCCACCCTCCGGAACTGGTGGAGTAATTGGGTAGTGTGGACCAGCCTTTGGTTAACAGACAGTCCCGGTTTCTTCAGAAGGGGATCGCATAAGGAGCTTCGCACAAGCACGCAAGGCCTCTGCCTGGTGCTGCTCTGGTAAAGCTGAGCAGCAGGAAAAGTGCTTTGCCGAGAATGGCCGGGTTCATACCCGGAGAGGAACTTCTTGACTCCCAAGCAAGGGGACTCAGGAAGGGCAAAAGCAAAATCAGACAACTGGGCGCGGGTCACAGAAAGAAAGGGAAAACTATACAAATTAGGGGTACTCAACCCAGATGTCTGGTGCTTCTCGGGGAATCCCAGTCACCGTGAACAATGCTGAGCGTGTGCGTTTTGCAGTGGGGAGAGCAGATTGTTTTTATCAGTTCTCAAAGGGGTCTGGAATCCAGAAACAGCTAAGAGTCGTTTGGCCGGGTAAAGGAACCCCAAATCTCTAGGCTCAAAATGTATGGCAGCGTCTCTTCATTTCCTGCCTTTGGCTAAGGACGATTGTTACCTGACCCCCAAAGGAGGTTAGAAGGTCGGTTGGAAGGTGCAAAGGTTTACAGCATCCCCTACTCCTCCTCCTCAGCCTCCCCTCCCCCAGGAGCTGACACCTGCCTAAGTCCCACTTAAGCAAACATATGTAAATGCTGGCCCCACAGTTCCCCACCCTACATTTCCTTAGGGAAAGCATCCACGGTCCCTGTGGGCGTTAGGTGTTGGGGAGGGGGGTAAAAAGAGTTGGGTGTCTGAGGAGGAAGCTCAAAGGCTGGGGGACCAGAAATGAGACCCACATTTAACCCAGCTCCCTCTTTGCACCTCAGTCCCTCACCCAGGCACAGGGTAGGTCGTCTCAGAGGGTCCTTAGGGGAAAATTTGGGAAGGTTCAAAGCCTTGTGGGAAAGGGGAAGGGGAAACTCAGAACCTGTCACTGACTGTGACCGCCTGTCCCCAAACTCCTGGAAGGAACCCCTCTCCTGGGCCCAAAGGGTAGGGGGCAGAGATGAGGAGGATAAAAAAAAAAAAAAAAAAAACTCTATGAAACAATCTAGTTCAGGGGTGTGACTAGATTAGAAAATGTGTGAGCTTTTTAACGTTAAAAAAATTTAAACATTAATTCTGCTTCATTTGGTAGTATCCCTGGAGCAGAGCAGGCCCGAGAGAGAGGCCTTTTCCTACAGCCAGGCTGCCTGACTCTGCTAATATATTTGTATTTGTGTGCTCTTTAATGGACCAAATAGGGGTTCCCCTTTGGGCCCCGCAGGCCTACTGAGGGCTCCTTCCCAGCCCAAGTCTGGGCTCTGGTTTGGTTTTCATATACCTGAGAGTCTGGAGAGCGGGGAGACTGGGGGCAGCGCTTGCCTTGCCTCCTCTCCCATTTCCTGGCTCCTGGCACCTCCCTCCACCAGCCGTCTCAGGCCAGGCCAGCTCCAGGCCTGCAGAGCCCGCACAGCCCGCCGCCATGTTACCCAGCCTGGCTCCGGCCCTGGGCCGGGGTGCCTGCCACCCCGCTGTGGCTGAGGAGGGCGAGACTCTCTGCCAAAAGCTTTTGAATCCATTGCCATTCAGTTTGCTTCAACAAGTATGTATTGGGCGTCTTCTCTGTGCCAGACGGCAGAGAGGGCCCCTGGCCTGGAGGGCCAGTCCTGTGGGCAGAGGCGGGTGGAGGGCGGCCCTGGGCATCCCTTCCCCAGCATCCGGGAGATCCTGAAGCCGCAGAGAGTGAGTGCAGGAAACCGTTCGCACGGCCCATTCGGCTAAGATACCTGTGACTCCTGGTTTTTTAAAAAAACAATAATGAACTGGGGTTGGGTGTGTCATCCTCCTCCGGTGGTGGGTGGCCAGGAAGGATTGCGGAGCCTTAGCCTGGAAGAGGGCTGCTGGGAGAGAGCCGGGAGGTGTGAGTGAGAGAGGAGAAGGCTAGAGGTCCAGGTCCATGCTCCCTGCTCTACAGAGTCAAGTTCACCCCATAAAAGCCCAGGGCAGACATGTTAGGGAGCTGGAGGAGCCCAATGCACCCAGAGGGGAGGGAACCCCAGTTTCAGGAGCAACAGAGAAGTGGCCCATGGAGCAGGATTAGGCCCCTTTGAGGAAGGCCTCCTGAAACCCCAGTACTAGAAAATTTACCCCTCAATCCGCCAGCTCCAGGCCCAGCCCACAGCCGCCAGAGGCCCAGGTGAAAGCAAGTTTCATTTGGCAGCACCGCCTCGGGCGTTTGGGCTGTGCGATCAGAGGGCAGCAGTGGCGAAAGTGCACCCTGCCCCTGCCTTCCCCTCCTAAATCTCTTCACCTCTGAAGCCCACTCTTTAAGACCCTAAATTGGGGTTCAAGAAAAATGCACAAGGAATGCTGGAGGGGCTAGGGGATAGCTGCATTCAGTGCATTAAAAGCCAGCTGGAGGCCGCTCCTCTGTCCCTCTGTGGGGGTCTCCTTGGGTTATAGGACCTTTCACGCCTCCCCTTCCCTAAGACCGCACCCACTCCCTTTGGCCACCAGCCCCGGACAAAACCGGTTTGGGCCTCCGCCTCCAGTGGGTGTTTCCCAGGTGCTTCCCCTTCCCTCCCTGTCCATCGGTTCCTGCTGGGCCCGCACTCTCCATTCCCCTCCTCTCCTCGCGGCTTCCTGTGCTCTGTTTACTCTTGTGTAACTCCATCCCTCCTTTAGTCAGAACTCTGTGAGCTGCTCTCCTAGGCGGCCCATGCAGCTCTCCAGCTGGCCCTCTGCAAACACTTCCGTGCATAAGTCTCTCCCAGCCCCTCATATAAATATGTCTGTTCAGAGATAGACTGGCCTAAGCCCCAATTTACACACATCACGAGATAATTACACCCTTATATACATACAGATATCTCTATGGAGTTATATTCGCAAGTGTCTATAACTCTCAAGAGAGATAGCAGCATGTGCATATAGGACTATAATTACTTATGTCTATTTTTATAACTATGTAGTTATAAATAGATATGCCTATATATAGTGATAATAATATAGAAATATCTCCATCGCCATATATGGCTTTAAGTGAATGCTCTAACCACTCTATATCACAATCAATAAGTATATATCTCCTGGTATGTAATTCCAACGATATACATTTATCTATATAGCTGCTCGGAGTTATAAATCTGTCAGGATATCAAATGTCCATAAAGCTGGATGGCTATAAGAGAGTCGTATATTTTCCCATATATAAATCTGCTCCTGTAACTATTGTATATGCACAAACACAATGGAAATAATTATATTTTCCTCGAGCATAAATCTGTAAATACAACCACAGCACATTTAGGTATGGTTAGAGATAGAGCAATATTTTCTAGGCATCAGTCTGTCAATGGAGCCACCGGCGCTTCCAAACAGAGAGAGTTCTAGTGGGAGTTATAAATAAACCCTCCAGATGTGAACGGATCAGCAGAACTAGCTATAAACACCCGGCTTTCCTTCTTCTTCTTTGTAAGGTAATCCTGACAGGAGCACAGTCACATATGACAGGGCACAGAGGTGGAGGTGGCTGGACTCTGGGAAGCCCTGCAGCCCGCAGGCTCCTTCGCTCCGTCTCCTGGTGGCCGGCCGAGGGCTCGGGCAAGCGGCGAGGCCTAGGGGAGAAAAACGGAGCAGAGACTGGCTTGAGTCACTTTGCCCCCATCTTGGGCCCCAAAACCTTGCACTAAGGAAGCCCCAATCTGGCATCCCGGCCAAGAGCAGAAGGGTCCGGAGACTGGGGAGAAGCAGGCTGCAGGCTGGGTTTGGGAGGGAGACCGAGCGAGCGAGCGGTGCCTGCCGGCCCTGACACCCCATCCCCGGGCCGCTGCCTCGCCCGCCCGGCGGCTGCCTGGAACCCAGACCCAGGCCTCTTCCATCCGCGTCCTGCCCTCAGCCGTGCGGCCAGATTTGTTTTCTTTTATTTACTTTTGCCCAACTGGCTACCGTAGTGTCCTCCACTCTGTGGTTTGCACTTCCGAGGATTCCCAGGGTCTCTGGAATCTGTGTGCGCTGCTTTTATAAAGGAGCGCCTCGGTGCGAAGTGTCTCTCTCCGTCTCTTTTCCGACCGACCGGATGGGTCGCCGGCTGTGGAAAAAGCACCCAAACCTCTGAAAAGGTTTGTGACTTAAATCTTTCAGAAGCCCTCACGCTCGTTTGTTATGGTGATTTTCTTTTCTTCTCTTGTAAAAGTTGGCTAATTTGTGTTTTTATATTTCCTCTTAGATTTTTTTGTAGATACAATTGTTGTTAAAGGGGGGATTTCGTTAGACCCGAAACTGTGGAACTATGGGGTGGCTTCCTCCTGGCCGGTGCCATATCTCTACACCCTGACTCTGTCCTCCCCTAAAAAATAAATTCATATAATCATCAGAAAACTGTACCTGGGAGAGTGAGGCGTCCAGGGAAGGATCCGGGGCCGTGTCTTCTCCTCCTTCATGGAAATTCGCTCTGTTCTAGCCGCGCGAAGGAAATTTACACGGGCCTCCCCTTTCTCCTTCTTTCCTCCCCTTTCTCCTTCTTTCCTCCCTCCCCCCCTCCCTCTCTCTCTCTCTCTCTCTGCAAAGACCCTACGAAGGAAACTTTCGCTGGGCCTACGGAGCCCTGCCCTTGCTCTCCCCTCTCTCCACGGCCATAAATCCCCCCCCTGCCTGGCCGGCCGTGCTCTCCTCCGGTACCTCCTCCTGCCAGCATACAGCCCAGGCTGTGGTCCTCGCCTTCCCTGCGTCTGCCCCTTGGCCTGACCCTACGCGGTTGGCCTTCTCTTTAAAACAGGGGCTCCAGAAAGTCCCCAAAGCCACCAGCCCTCCCCTGATCACACGAAGCAAAAGCTGGAAAAGAGCAGCAGGCAAGAGCAGCCTCCTGGCCCCCCTCTGCTCCTCTGGCTGAGGAACCTCCTCCTGGGGTCCCAGCCCCAGCCCCCCAAGAACATACGAAGATGCTAACTTCTTTTCTTGCCTTCCCCTCAGATTCAGTGACCATGACCCCTTCTCCATCCCCTCTTCCAAATATCTCCTCTTGCCTTTTACTGTTATCCTGCTAGGGAGGGGCTGTTAACCACTGTCTTTATTTATTGTTATTATGATGGCTGTTGGAGATTTGTTCACTGGGTTCAGAGGACAGCAGCCAGATCCAGAGGGAAGCCTGCTTGTCACACGTGCACACACACACACACACACACACACACACACCTAGCAGGTGTGCACACACAGCATATGCCCACAGTGTCTGCTCCATTCAGGCCCCGCACAACAACTCACAGGAGGCAGCCATCCTCCTACCCCCGGCATGCAAACAACACACTGCCCCCGCACACTGCCTCTCAGCCACAAACACCACCCCCAGACCCTGCCCAAACCCAAACCCACGCGGGCCAGCGAGGGGAGCTGGTCAGGAAAGGAAAATGAGTAAAACCCACTTGCAAAGATCCCTTGTCTCCCACAACCTGGAGGGGTAAGCCGGGCCCCTGTCTCTTTTCCCCCAGTCTCTCTCTCTTTCTCTTTTTTCTCCTTGTTTACAGCTTCAGAGAGCTCAAGGCCCATAAATCTTGAGGGGCCTACAGAGCGCAGAGCACATTTGTATGCATCGTTAGGGCTCGCTAATACCTAAGCCCATTAACGACCGTGTATGCGCGTGGTTTCCGGTGTGTATTAACTTATAGTTAAATTCTGGAGGAAAGGGCATTGTGAATTAACATATACCAAATCCATCACGGGATTTTGTCATCGATTAGTCGGTCATGGGTTTGGGGGAGCGGGGTGGCTGAGTCCGGGTATATACGCCCTTCAAACTTTCTGGAGCGGGCCTGGGGGTCCAGGGGAAGACAGGACACTCTTACCCCAGCCCCCGTCGTCCAGATCCCCCAGGCCAGCGGCGGCACACCTTGGGGTGGTGGAGCGGCGGGGGGCCCGGTCCAGAAGGCGGTGGCCGGCGGAGGGAGGCCGGCTAGGGGACGCCCCGCCGGCGGCAGCCCGGGCTGTGCTGGGGCCGCTGGGCCGTCTGCTTTCAGCTTTCCGAGAAAACAAAACAAAACAAAACAAAACAAAAAAACGAGAGTGGAAGGAAAGGCAAGTGGAGTCGCTGAACTTTAATTAAACGGAGAAGATGGCGAAGGGAGGAGAAACCGATGGGAGCAGGAGGCCGAGAGGCCGAGGAACGGAACGAGTCCGGCTGCAGCGGGAGCTGGGACCTCGCCGGGCGGCGGGCCGGGCGCCTCTGCTCTCCCGCCCGCCGCTCCGCTCAGCCCGGCAGCCGCTTCTAACCTCTTAGCAAAGAAAGAAAGAAAGAAAGAAAGAAACCCCTTCTAATTATATGGCATGTTTCCGCCAGGTGTTCTGGTCCCCACTCGGATCCCACCGGACCCCCAGGACCGGTGTCGTCGGGAGGAAGGATGCGGGCTCTCAGGGGGGGCCGGGGGCGGGAGGCCCCTCTCCTGGGGTCCTGCGGGAAATGCCCCGGGCAAAACGAGCTGCATGATTGTGTCCGCGCGGACCGATTGCCCATTTAAATGCTGCAGGCGGAGGGGTGGGGATAGCCGATCGGGATGCAGCGGGCTTGGGGAGCGAAAATGCACACCCGCGGCCTCCGCCGGCGCGGCTCGGGCCTCCTCCGCGGGGCGCGGGCCGGCGGGCCGGGGCCGGGCCGGGCCGGGCCGGCGGGGGAGGGGCGGGGGCGGCGGGCCCTCCCCGGCGCGGTGAACTTTAGCTGGGCCGCCGCCTGTCAGCCCCAGAAAGCGTTAAAGGTGCAGCAGCCCGCGCCAGCCTCCGCAGCCGCCTTTGTACGCGTGATTTATGACTTCAATCTTGGTTCACCGAGAGTTCACACGGCTTTCGCTGCTGTTGAAGGTTAAAAGATGGTCTTCGCTTGACAAGTGGGACTATTGAAAATTCCTTCTTCTTCGGCTTTTTTTTTTTTTTTTTTTTTTTTTTTTTTTTTTTTTTTTTTTTTAAAGAAGCGAAGAGCGGAGGCTCAGGAGGGAGAGAGAAAAAAATTGGGGGAGGGGGCAGGAGTTGCAGGTGGGGGAAATGGTAGACCAGAAAAGTTTGCCTCCCCTTTTTCTCTCCCCCTCCCCCACCCCCACACACATTTAGAAATGGTTGTAGCTAGGATTTGGGAGTGTCTACTGGGGCAAGGGGTAGAGAATAGGAGGAGCGAGGGAAGGGATTTAAAGACCTCGTATTTGGAGGCCAGAAGAGTAGCATCCAGTCCTGCTTCCACTCTTCTCTGGGTAACTTGGGTCACACCTAACTGACGCTCCTCTGAAACCAGGGAAGGGCGGGGGGTGTGGTCCCCGTGCCCAGCCATTGTGCTCGACAGACCATCCGCCTTGCCCAGGAGCAGCTTTTCAAGCACGTTCTTGCACCCACAGATTTGGAAAAGGGTGTTTTTAGGTCTCGGTGTTCCAGATTCCCTTCATCCTGCAGAGTTAGCCTGACATGCGTATTAGATACACGTGATGAGGCCAAGGGGAAAGCAAATCCAGGTTCCCCCTCTAACGCCGGTCCCCTGGCCCATGATTTGTTCACCTCTTCCCTTAGCATTTGATGAAGGTGGTCAAGGATCTCCCAATGGCCAGAAGATAAGGCCCCTTTGTGGTTTAAGTCCTTGATTATTTGGAAGAACAGGATCTCTCCTTTTTTTCAAGAGAGAGGAGAGAGGATAGAAGAGAGAGGAGAGAGAGAGAGAGAGAGAGAGAGAGAGAGAGAGAGAGAGAGAGAGAGAGATAGATACTCCCCCCCCTACCCAGCAGCGATGATCTGAGCTCTTTGAGTTCCTTTAAGATGTTTTAAAATCTGCTGGAGTGGGGACTTGGAGTTATGGGTGTTGGGGAGGGAAGCATCAGGAAGCTGGTTCTGGTGTTGGACAAGCCTTCCTAGCCATTAATGGTGCTGTGTAGATGCCTGCTCAGAAGGTCAGGGCCAGCCACTCACGCCCAGATCTGGAACCAGCAGCATCCTCAGGAGAAGAGGTGCTCTCTGTTTCCCTTCCCACAGAGCTGAAGTGGCTTTCCACGACAGCAGGAGGGCTCCTAGGCAATCCCCAGGAGAAGGGAGGTGTGAGAGGGAGAGAGCCAGAAAGGTGGCCACACCTCCCCGGGACAACCCCGTGTCAGCCCCTCCTGCAGGGAACCCACATATAAATAGCAAGCCAGGCAGCAGGGAACAGACAGACCCCAGAAATCTAGAGTCCAGGTTCTGAGGTCACGCTGGCAGGGATGACCCTCTGGCCTCGGGAAGAACAGAGAGGCTGTATGGCACCGTGTTTGGGAGCTGTTTTGTGGAGGTAGCTATGAGGGGAATCCGCCACGGGAGCGAACTAATCTCTCCCAGGCCTAGTTGGGAAGCAGAGGCATGAAGGTAAAAGCCTTTAGAAGTAATGGCTGCACTGAAGACCCCTCTCCACCCCCTCCAACTATGTTTCTCCCTGAGAAATAATTTCAGCGGGCTTGTGCTTATCTGCAAGTCTGGAATAATTATGAATTATTAATTCATAATTAAGACTGTTAATTGTGACCATTGCTCTCCAGTGGGCTCATTTATTTCCTTCGCTGAGAATTACTGGGCAGCCTCTGTTAGCCCCTGCCCTCAGAACAAGCAAACTGAGGCCTGGCCTCTCTGGAAAGTAGCCCTTGAACCTGAACTCTATGTGGAATGGTTGCCTCATTACTAGTCAAGTCATGTTGCACCTCGCAGAGTATTTGCACTCAATAAACTACCTCCCGCTAACTCCAAATTTTAAAGTGTTTTGTAGGCTTGGCTCCTGGGAAGATATAGTGGTACCTGGAAGTGAAACCCCCAACTAGGAAAGCAGCTTGGTCAAGTTCTGGGTGGAGACAGGAAGTAAGGCCTGGTGGCAGGGCTCCCAGGCAAAATTCTCCAGTGATCTAGCGTCAGGGATGGGCATTCTGCCTCCCCTGCCCTCAGGACATGCTGATCTCTGTGGACCCCTGAGTACACATCTGGCTCCTTTTCCTGGTGTCCCTGTCCACCCACCCTGCTTTTCTATAGGATGCAAAGGCTTCGAGATGTACCATACCCTGGGATGGCCAGAGTTGGGAAGCAGGACCTGCCAGTTGTTTCACATCTGTAATGGCCTAGAGAGGGAGAAAATTGCTCCTATTCTGTGAGACTTAAATCCCTGCCTACAGCTCACCTCCCCCACTCTGAGACATCTCAGAGACATTGCTCATCTCCTCCTCTCCTGCCCTCTGAAAAGGCTGTTGGGGAGTTGGAGCAGATACACCTAGAGAGAGGCAGAAGTAGGAAATGAGGGAGGGGGGTCAAACCCAATACTTCCCAGGAGTTTCGCCTCCATTCCTCAAGCCCAGTAAATAACCCTGATGCTAGGGCCTTGCTCCTCCTTCCCCCAACTCTCCCTCTCTCCCCTCCCTGTCGCTGAGGCTGCTCTAAGACCTTTGCTCCAAGAACAGAGGACATTCAGGAATCCATCCCCCATGGATCGCTCAGTGTCTCTCTGATTCAGAGCGAAGCCAGCGGCCCAGCCAGCTTGTCACCACTTCATGCCATGTGTGGTGGAGTGGTCCATGGAGTCACCTCAACCACCATCCTAAACTCCATTGCTCTGCCCCGGAGCCACTCCAGCATCCCTGAGTCTCCCCTAACCCAGGAGGCAAGTAGGAAGCCCATCCAGAAGATCTCCCAGAACTGGAGAGTATATTTTACTTTACTGGTCGGTGGCAAATAAAGAGACCTGGGGGGAAAAGAGGAGCAACTGAGCCCGGAGTCCTCCCGGCCGCCCCGCCTCTGGACATTGGCTTTCTGGGTGAAACAGTGCACTGTTGTTCTTGGACAACCATTCCCCTTCATCTCCGTTCGAAGGCTTGAGTTTCACCCTCCGTTCACCCCCATTAATCACCCCAGCAGCTAAACACCACCCAGCCCCCTCTGGCCCTTTCTCTTCTTCTTGCCCTTAGTATTCATGGCGGGCATTCCTCACTGCTGCCGCCTTACAAAGGCCCCTCCTCCGACACCAGGCCCCTCCCCCTCTGCAGCTATTCAGGCCACGGTGGGCACTGCTCACTGTTCCTGCCCCTCTGCTGCCAGCCCCCCTCCTAGGCCCCACTCCCCAGCTTTTACCGCAGCCACTGCCCCATCCCCTCACCATGACCTCCTTCAGGCACCTCAGCCCATCCCCGCGCTGCTTCTCATGTGTCTCCCACCACCACTCTGCCTTGCATGCCCCATCCACGCGCAGCCCCTTTCTGCACTCCTTCTCTTTCCCGGCCCTCACCAACACATTCCTAGGCCCTTCAGGTCCTGGCTTTGACGCACTTCCCTTCCAGCCTTGAGAGACTGAGAGGCAGGGCAGCAGAGCGGTGAAAAACATGGCTTTAGGGTTCAACATCCCAGATCTGTCACTTGCTAGTTGCACAACCTTAGGCAAATTACTTAACCTCTCTGAGTCATCCATAAAATGGACATACCCACTGACCTTATAGAGTTGTTGTGTAGATGAGATTAAATTTTATTTGCATAGATCCAAGCATTCAGCAGGGGCTTGATAAATGGTAGTTATTAATATTAGAAGCTTCTCATGGGGAGAGAAAAGTACACTCTTCAGGTTCCAATAAAAGTGAAGGCACTGCCTCCTCCAACACCTGAAAGGGAGGGATGAAAACTCCATCGTCCTACACATAAGCAGGGCCCCTTTACCGGCAGCCATACTCTTTCATTAGCCCTAGAGATTCTCATCTTTTTTTTATTAAGCCTCACCTAAGGATATTTTTTTCCCATTGATCTTTTAGAGAGAGTGAAAGGGAGGGGGAGACAGAGAGAGAGAAACATCCATGTGAGAGAGACATAGTCATGGGTTGCCTCCTGTCCATTCCCCAACCAGGGCCAGGGACCAGGCCTGCAACCCAGTTACAAGGTACAAGGTATGTACTCTTGACCAGAATCCAACATGCCACCCTTCAGTTCGAGAGCCAGAGCTCTAACCACTTAGCAAACTGGCTAGGATCAGGATTCCGTTCTGATCAAGGGCATGTACCTAGGTTGCAGGCTCCTCCCTGGCCAGGGCCCAGATTAAGGCTCATGCAGTAGGCAACCAATTGAAGTGTTCCTCTCACTTTGATGTTTCTCTCTGCCTTTCCCTTTCTCTTCCACATTTCCCTTTCCCTTTCTCATTTTTTGCTGCACATTGGAACCCCCTGAACAGATTTTAAAAATACTATTACTTGCCATAGTCGGTTTGGCTCAGTGGATAAAGCTTGTCAACCTGCGGACAAAAGGGTCCCAGGTTTGATTCCAGCCAAGGGTACATATCTCAGTTGCAGGCTTAATCCCAGGCCAGGAAGCAACCAATCAATGTCTCTCTCTCTCTCTCTCTCTCTCTCTCTCTCTCTATCTATCTATCTATCTCTCTCTCTCTCCCCCCCACCCCTTCCCTTCCACTATCTCTAAAAATCAATGGAAAATATCCTTGGGTGAGATTAACAACAACAAAAAATACTGAGACCTTGTTCCAGATTCTAATTTTGTTGGTCTGGAGTAATGCCCAGGCATCCGCCTTTTTTAAACTTCTCAAATGATGCTAATATGCAGCCAGAGGTTGAGCTATGGGCCCTATGAGGTGACATAAGAGGCAAGAGGAAGGCTGCCGCTTCACCCTCTGTGTGTAAGCAAAGAGCATGGAGGGAAGGATACTCCGCTGAGAGCTTCTCCACGTGGGACCCACCCCTCAGCAACTGCGCCTGTGTGGGGGAGGGTGTCATATAGAATAAGCTTCTCTTGAGATCCCAGAATTTCCGAGACTCTCGTTTTCTCATTTCCTACAACTATTAGGGGCCACCCCAAGAGGAAACTGGGGAATGGACAGGCCCCTCTTTCATCAGAAAAGTGAATAGTCCCTAGACCACCAGTGTCAGAGGCAGAGGCAGCTAGTGGGGAAATTTGCAGTTACATAGTAAATGGAGTTTCTACCTGGTTGCTACA